TAGAAAGAGGGCGCCGCGCGGGGCTGCGCAGATCCAGTTGAAAGAATAAAACAAATGGAATCTTTTCGAGTACCTGCAGCGCGCGCACTGGGGCCAGGTGTACGTACACCCCAAAGCCCTCAGGAACCAGTCGGCACTGTCAAAGGAACTGCTCCTTCTTCAGTCACCAGGAGTGTATGTTCCTGCCGCACAAACAAATATAAAGAACAAACAAAAAGAAACTTTTCTCTTGAAGCTGCATTTGTTCGGGTGTACGTACACCTCAACGCAGACGTAGCGCATGCGCTGAAGGCCTTTTTGTCTTCAGAGGTATTTCTTTGTCTTTTAAGTTATGCTGCAACTCTTGTTTTCTCTCCCCCGCTGGGGCTTTACTTTCTAATATATATATACATATATAATATATTTAAAAGACATAAATGTTAAAAAACATATATATATACTATTGTTATATATTAGTGTTATATGTTATTATATAACATTATTATACATATTATATATAATTTATTATACAGAGAGAGAGCCTGGCCAACACCAGAAGTAATTTCTTCATTTGGACATAAATATATATATTACATACATAAAAAATGTGATAAAATACTCCGAATATATTATAAATATCATTATAATGTACCAATTTATATTTTACCAATTTATATTTTATTTCAAATTAAACGTTATTTAATGTTGCTTTATTTTAAATTCATTTTGGTGTTAGTGGGAAATCTTAAAAATTTATTTTTTAGGGTGCCGGGCGAGTGGTTTAAATGTGCACATTTGGGGAGGTGCGGGAGTGTCGGAACATGAAAAAAAGAGAAATAAAAAGAAAAATAAAAATAAATAATTAAAACAAATAATTTAATTGAAATAATAAAACAGATATTAAAATAAACAATTGGAATTAAAGTAAATAATGAAGATAAATAATTAAAACGAATAATCAAAAAATTAAAATTAAAATAAAAAATTAAAATAAATACAACTTACAAACTGCGCGCAACGGCCTCCGTCTTGTGTACATACAGTCCAGCCGTCGGCCCAGCAGTAAATGTCGCCGCTGCCCTCTGTCAGAATTGGCTCTGCAAAAAAATTAAATCAAATTAAATTAATTAAATTAATTAAATTAATTAAATTAAATTAATTAAATTAAATTAAAAATAAATAAAATTAGGGATAATAAATAGAAATTAATTCACGAAAAGAATTAACAATCAGCAGTTCCAAGTTGAGGGTAAAAACGAACAATTAGAAATGAATAAATAATAATAATTGAATAATAATCAAATAATAATTAAATAACAATTAATTAATAGTATTTGAATAATAATAACAGCAGCAGCAGCAACAGCAGCAGCAGCAGCAGCAGCACAGCAGCAGCAGCAGCAGCAACAGTGGGCCTTTGGAAGAACAAGAAATGGGAAATAAATAAAAAGTGGAAATGAAAAGTGAAGCCAGTTGGGGTGTATGTACCGATGGTGAAGGTCTGGCCGACCTTGAATACCCCTTTGGCGTCATTTGCTGCAAAAGTAAATTGAAGAAGATAAATAAATAAATAAATAAATAAATAAATAAACAATCAATATCAATGAATAAATAAATATAAATAAATAAATATAATAACGAAGGGACAAGAAAGAAATTAAAAAGAAACAAAAAAGAAGCAAAAAGAAATAAAAAAGAAGCAAAAAGAGAAATGAGAAGAAAACAAAAAGGACAAGAAGAAAGACCAAATAAGGTCTACAATAGAGGCCAAATGAGCAGCAAAAGAAAACAAAAAAGGCAAGAAAAAGATCCAAAAAAAGAAAACAAAAAAGCAGCAAAAGAGGCCAAAAAGAGTAAAATGAAGTTCAAATAAAGTTCAAATAAAGACTAAACGGGAGACAAAATGCAGCAAAAAGGATTCAAAAAAAAGAAAAAAAGAAGAACAAAGAAGCAGCAGAAGAAGCAAAAAAAGGACTAAAAAGAAGACAAAAAGGAAGACCAAATGAGCAGCAAAAAACTTCAAAAAAGGACTAAAAAGAAGTCAAAAAAGAGCAAAAGAAATTCAGAAAAGCATCAAAATGAACATCCAACAGAGACAAAAGAAAATGATAAAAAGGAACAAAAGACATAAAAAAGACCAAAATGGAGATCAAATGGGCAGCCAATGGAGCCAAAGGAAGGACAAAAAAGAAGACAAAAAGGAAGACCAAATGAGCAGCAAAAGAGCCTCAAAAAGGACTAAAAAGAAGTCAAAAAAGAGAAAAAAGATTTCAAAAAGATCAAAAAAATTAAAAATTAAAATCCTCACGAGCGCTGTGAGGCACAAGGGGAGGCAAGTGCAGCCGACGGCCAATAAAATGGCCGCAGAAGTCCGCCACGACTTTCAGGCCTTTGCTGCTGGCGAAGTTGCTGCACCGCAGCAGCAGCAGCAGCAGCAGCAGCAGCAAAAGAAAGCTCTTTCGGGGCTTCTCCACAGTTCTAGTGCTCAAAGATTTAAATGCAACGCATGCAGAAGAGAAAATACGAACAGGACGCTGAGAACGCGACTTAGTCGTTGCTGCAGCTGCTGCTGCTGCTGCTGCTGCTGCTGCTGCTGCTGCTGCTGTGCTGTGTTTGGCGGCTGCTAGGGGCTCTTAGTACTGGTTTTTTCTCCGTTGGTAAATCAGCTTCCTGTTTGCCATTTTATTTATTTATTTAATTTATTTGTTTTATTATTTATTAAGTTTATTTATGCAATTTATTATTTAATTTATTTATTTTCCCTTTATTTTTAGCTCCTTTTTATTCCATTTGAATACTCTTAATTTGGTCCCCTTCTCTCTCCCTTTCTTTGCCTCTTGTTTGCTTCCCCCATTATTCATTTTTATTATTTCATTAGTAAGTTGGCGTTCTCGTTTATTTCTAGGGCTTAGGGTCTACTAAACCCTAAACCCTAAACCCTAAACCCTAAACCTCAATCCTAAACTTTAGACCCTAGGCACGTGACTCTAAACCCTAAATTCTGAACTCCTAATCTCTAAGCTGAACCCGAATACCCGCAACCTAAATTCTAGACCCTCAATCGGAAACCCTAAACTCTAAACCCTAAACCCTAAACCCTAAACCCTTACTGGATAATTTCTCCAACTTCCCCAATTGGCATCCCCGGCTTTACAGCCCGCACAGCCACATCCAAGCACTCCTGCACACAAACCCTAAACCCTAAACCCTAAACCCTAAACCCTAAACCCTAAATTCCTTATAGTGCCAAAAGTGTGACGGCGCAGGAGTCACCTTGTGCTTCTAGCGGAGAGCGCGTGGGCGCCTCCTCAACTTGATTAGGGTTTAGGATTTAGAGTGTAAGGGTTTAGGGTTTAGGGTTTGCCTGCCTTGGCTGCAGCAATGAGGTCCGCGTGCTGCTGAGCCACGGGGGCAACTGCCACAGTTGCAGCGCAGTCTCCTGCAAACAAAGAAAGAAAATATAAATTAAAAGAGTAAATTATAAAAAAAATTATAAAAATAAATTAAAATAAAAATAAAAATGAAATAATAAGCGAAAAGGAGAGACCGCAGAAGGGAGGCTCCGGCTGATTCAGGTGTATGGACAGCTACGCGCATGCACTGAAAAGCTTTTCAACTTTTCTTCCACTTATTCATTTCCTGGCTTGTTTGTTCATTTAATTGAACAATACAGGTGAAATAAAATAATAAACCAATTTAATTAATAAATAATCAGAAATAAAGGCTTTTGCTCTTCAAAAAAGCAATCACTTTCTGGGAGGCTCGCTGGTGTCTGTACACCTCAATTACCTTCAAATTCAAATCTTCGAACATGAAGAAGACGCATTCAATTCCGCCAAATAGATAATAAATAATAAACCAATTAATTAATTAATTAATTAATTAATTAATTAATTAATTAGTTGTTTGCGGATGTAGGGGGCTTGAAATGTGTCATAGTTTTGAAAGAAAGAGAGACCAGTAGCAAATTGAATTCCTTTTTGAATATTTTTTTGCAAATAAAAAGACAAGTTGATTTAATAAAATGAACTAAATATTTAACTAATTTAATATTTAATATTTAATATTTAATTTAATATTTAATTGAATTTAATTTTCAAAATCTGCCACACTCACCAAAAAAGCCATTTAGAAAAGCCGTGCAGTCTATAGAGACAATATCCCCTTCTTGCAGAGGGCGGACGTCGGGAATGCCGTGGCAGGCAACTGCAGCAAACCCTAATTTAGGGTTTAGGGTTTAGGGTTTGGGGTTTAGGGTGTGTAGGTTAGGAGTTGGGTTTTGGGGCATTGCAGCAGCAGCAGCAGCAGCAGCAGCAGCAGCAGCTACAGACCAAGATACGAGAGGGGAAAGGGAAATAAACAAAGAAACAAATACATAAATAAATAAATAAATAAATTCTTCAAAATAAATAAATAAATAAAAGAATTAATTAAATACCTTCATTGACGGAGATGCAAAGCGCCTTGGGAAAACCAAAGAAATTAATTGCTGCTGGATAAGCTCCTTTAGAAATTAAAAACTTGTGCACCAAAGAGTCGATCTCTTCCGCAGTAACACCTGCGGCAGCAGCAGCAGCAGCAGCAACAGCAGCAGCAGCAGTACCAGCAGCAGCGGGAATTCAAAAGGCGAGCGGAAACGAAGGCAAAAGGGCCTCAATAAACAGAAAAAAGGAAAAAAAAACAGAAACAAAAGTGAAAATAAAAACAATTAAAACAATTAGATGAAATTAAAACTAAAAAGGATAAAAAAGATAAATGTGCTGCAGCAAAAGCCTCACCCGGCTTGCAGCTGCTGACAGCCAGCTGCAGCGCGTCAGCTGCAGCAGCAGCAGCAGCTCTTAAGCCTTCGATGGCTGCGGGCTTTTGGACTTCTCCATTTGGGTCTATTTGCCACCCCGGGGGGTCCCAGTAGACCACACTTCCCCCTGCAGCAGCAGCAGCAGCAGCAGCAGCAGCAGCAGCAGCAGCAGCAGCAGCAGCAGGGGGCGCAGGCCGCCCGTCAGCCGCCACAGCGTAGGGGGGCCGCGGCACCCACGGGGGCACTTCTTGGGCGGGCAGCACTGCGAATTCTCCTGCAGCAAATAAATAAATAAATAAATAAATAAATAAATAAATAAATAATAAATAATAAATAATAAATAAATAAATAAATAAATAAATAAATTAATTGTATTTTAGATAAAAGAGAAAAAGAAGAAAAGAATTTCTCGCCAGGATTCGGGAAGTGCAGGTAAATTTATGCAGCAGCAAAATGGAGAAAATAAATAAATAAAATAAATAATAAAATAAATGCATAAATAAAGGACATTCTGATGATAATCGAAAAGGAAAAGAATAAAAATAAATAAATGAATTAATTGGAAAAAGAATGTAAACGGCTTTTGACCTTCTTTTAAAGTTTTTTTGAACTTCTTCTCCTGAGGCCTCAAGGCGGAGCGGCTGAGCAGCGGAGAAGGCAGCTGCAGCTGCGGCTGCTGCTGCTGCAGTTTCCGGCCATTTCCCGATTTATTTTCTCCTAACTTTTCTTTTTTTGAGTCTTCTTGAAGCCCCTTTTGCTCCCCAGGGGCTTCTTTGGAAGAAGGAAGAACAAAAGAAGTGAAAGCGCGAGGCCGAGGCGAGCTCAATGTACACCCCAAACGCGACGCAGCTGTACGTACACCCCAAAATCCCGGCCTCCCAAACAACAGCGGAGGCACCATTCCCACAATTATCCTTTTTAGTGGCAAGAAAAGATTAAAAAATTAAAAATGAATCAAATTCTTTCAAAGATTTGTTCAAAGATTTGTTAATTCTGTTGCTGCAGCGACGGAGGAGCCGAAAGATCCACCGAGAGAGTGCCGCGAGCTGTAGATACACCTGGTGTATCTGGCGCGGGATCAGTCGGAAAGCTCTTTCCTTAAAAGACAAAATCCAAATAAAAGAAACGTTTCAATGAAGTTTTATAATTTTATTTAAAAACAAAAATGAATTTCCGTTTTAGAAGCGGTTGGGAAGAGGAGGGCGGCGTCGTTGAGGTGTACAGACAGCTCGAGTGTTCCGGTCGATGCGATGCTGCTCCGCCGCCAATTGGATTCCATTCGTTGAATTTCATTCAGTTCAATTAATTTAAATAAATCAGTTCAAATAATTAAATCCATTTGGCCAATTTTGCCAAATAAGAACCAAACAGGCAGCAGCAACCAGCGCCCAGGGCAGCAGCACGCGCAGCAGCGGCGTCGATACACTCCAAACCAGCAACTTCTACCGACAAAACAAAATAAGAACAACTCTAATTTATTTTTAATTAAAATAAAAAGTAAAATAATGAATAAACTCGCCATTTCAGCGGCATGGACAGCGTAGCATCTCTGGACCCCACGGGGCCCCCAGTGGCCGCAGGGGGCCCCCTGGGGGCCCCCCGGGGGCCCCCCTGGGCCCCCTGGGGCCCCCCAAGTTCTGTTATTGTCTTTGATCTGCAGTAAAGAGTTTAATATTAAAATTGAATTAAATTTAGTTTTATTATTTTTGTTTATATCTTTTTAATTTGTTTTTCACCCTCTGTGGCCTTGGCACCTAAGGTGGCTAAGGGCTGCAGCAAATAATGCATTAAATGAAATTCAATTTGCTGCTTTAATTTAATTTTTATTTTTAAATTTATTTTCTTTAAGTTTTATTTCTTCAGGTGCTGCAGCAAAAGCACTCTAATCTAGTGCCCTCTGACCGTTGCTGCGTCACTGCTGCTGCTGCTGCTGCTGCTGCTGCTGCTGCTGTTGTAGTTCTTGCTGCTGCTGCTGCTGCTGCTGTTTTTTCTGCTGCCGCTGCTGGGGGAATGGCCCTGGGGCGATTCACGCTGCACCAACGAGGTGTCTGTACACCTTGAGTTATCACAAATTTGCAGAACGAAGAAAAGCTTTCATTTCTTTTCATTTCTTTTTTAATTTTAATTTGAAATGAAGAAAATAAACCTTCGCCTCGGCCTCCTCCTCTATTTGTTGCTGCTCACCAAAGCAGCAGCAGCAGCAGCAACAGCAGCAGCAGCAGCAGCAGCAGCAACAGCAGCAGCAGCAGCAGCAGACGATGACGCAGCAGGGGATTCTTTTCCCCCTGGTGGGTGTTTGACTTTGGGGTAATTTCTTCTTTTTGTTGCATTTAATTATTGAAAAGATGAATAAGATATAAAAGAAGAAATAGAATAAAACAAATAAATAATGGAAGCGTTAAAGCAGCAAAAGTAAAGGAGTGCTGCAAAGAAGGAGCTGAAACGGACTGCTGCTGTTGCTGCGCTGCGGTATACGTACAGCTCGCTGCCAGCTGCAGCAGCTGCAGCAGCAGCAGCAGCAGTGGTTCCCGCGGGATTACTTTGCTGCAGATGCTTCTGCTGCTTCGAAAAGCTTTCGAGAAGAATATGAATTTGTGGAGAAAACTTTTGCTGTTCGCTTTGCTGCTGCTGCTGCGAGCGGGGCCGCTGCGGTGTACGTACACTCCGTGGGCGCGGGCAGCAGCGCGAAGTCCCGAGACAAACTTGGCCGGGAAATAATTCAAAACAAAAAAAGATTAACTAATTCTAAAGAGTGGAATAAATTAATTCGAGTTTCCAATTTGCTTTTCACTGTTGCCCTCGCGGTGAGACGAAGGCGCCAGTGCCCCTCAGGTGTATAGACAGCTCCGGGTGTACAGGCAGCTCCGGGTGTACAGGCAGCTCCGGGTGTACAGACCGCTCCGGGTGTACAGACAGCTGGATGAGAGCAGCAGTTTGCGCTCTGGTGCCGCTGTTTTTGAAAATTAAAACTAAATTTAATTTGCAAATAATTCAATTGGTTTATTCTTTGCACTTAATCCCTCAGATTTTGCTGAACAGACAGAAAGCGCTGCTGCAGCAGCAGCTGCTGCTGCTGCTGCTGGCTGCGAAGGAACTTGCGTTGCGTTGTGGCTTGCGTGTGGAGTGCTGCAGCAGCAGCAAGCGGAGAAAGTGCTGCTGGTAGTAGACCTGACGGCGGACTCGGATATTGTTGCTGCTGCTTTTGCTGCTGCTCAGCAGCAGCAAACTGCTGCTGCTGTTCTTACTTGGGCTGCGCAGCCCCAGGTGTACGTGGAGCTCAACTGGCTTCTTTCGCGAGTTGAGCGGCTGCTGCTGCTTGCTGCTCCGCTGCTGCTCGCCGACAATTTGCTGCTGCTGCAGTGGCTGCTGAGCCAGGCAGCAGCAATAGCTCGGGACCAAATCCATAGGGAGCAGCAGCAGCAGCAGCAGCAACAGCAACACCAGCAGCAGCAGCCGCCTGCGCGCTTACAAGAAGCGCTCAATCAGCTGCCCGTCATTCAGCGGCTGGTGGCAGCAGCAGCAGCTTGCAGGGCTGACGAGGCAGCAGCAGCAGCAGCAGCAAGGCCGCAAGCCTCAGCAGCAGCAACAGCCGCAGAAATCGCAGCAGCAGCAGCAGCAGCAGCAGCAACGGACCCCCCGGACTGCTCCTCGGTGTTAGCTGCTGCTGCTGCTCTGCGCGAGCAGCTGCAGCAGCAGCAAAGGGCCCTGGGGGCCCCCCAGCTGCTGCTTAGTGCTGCAGCAGATGCTTTTTATTTAGCAGCTTTTATTAATCCCCAAAATATTCCTTTTCCTTTTATGCCAGCAGCAGCAGAGGCCTCGCAGCAGCAGCAGCAGCTCCGCAGCTTCCTCCGCCGCTGCTTGCCTTTCGCCTTTAAAACGAAGCAAATCAAATACGCTGCTGCTGCTGCTGCAGCAACAGCAGCTGCTGCTGCTGCTGCTGCTGATGGGGAGGGGCCCCCAAGGCCCAGCAGGCTAAAGGCAGACAGCGATTTGCTGCTGCGCTGAGGCCCCTGAGCATTTTATTTTTTCATTTTTAATTTTAATTTTTAATTTCACTTTTAATTATTTTAATTTCATTTTGATTTTTAAATTCGCAGCCAGTCCTTTCCTATGTTAAGCCTCCGGTTGGACAGCCTTGCATCGGCAGCAGCAGCAGCAGCAGCTGCTGCTGCTGTTGCTGCTTCTGTTGCTGCTGCTGCTGCTGTTGCTTCAGCTGCTGTTGCTGCCATGCTGCTTGTGCCGTTTGGGGGGTTTGCTTCCAACAGCAACCCCTGCCCTAAACCCCAAACCCTAAACCCTAAACCCTAAACCCTCGGTGCTGCCTAGTTTCTTTTCTAGCAAAAGAAGAGCAGCAAAACCCTAAACCCCAACATGACTGAAGTTCAGCTCAAGGCTGCTGCTGCCCACAGACGCACTCACTGCAAACTTATCTGCAGAAAATGCATGTTTTTGCTGCTGCTGCTGCTGCAGCAGCAGCAGCTGCCGTAGCTGTTGCTGTGGCCGCCGCAGCAGCCTCGACGCAGCTGTTGCTGAACCTGCAGCAGTAGAAGCTGCAGCAGCAGAAGCTGCAGCGGCAGAAGCTGCAGCGACAGGAGCTGCAGTAGCAGAAGCTGCAGCGGGAGTGGCTGCAGCAGCAGAAGCTGCAGCAGCAGCAGCTGCTGCTCGAGGCTAAGACCCTTTCGCCAGATGACCATCAGGCCTTCTTCAGGGCGCAAATAAACTGACCAGTGGACCACTGGGGGCTGCTGGCTGCTGCAGCTGGTGCCCAGCAGCAGCGGCAGCAGAAGGCAGCAA